ATTGAGTCAGCTGCACAGGGCAGCAGAGGAAAACCACTGGATGCGTTTGAGTGTTTCTCTCAAGAAAAGAGCACAATAATAATATTTTTTTTTTTAAATAAAAAAAAAAATTCTATTTGTGAAACGAGAAGGCAGCAATGGGTCGGATTTGGACAGGCCGACATCCGGACATTTGATCTGTGGCACAACGGAGCACAAGCTTGAATTACAAGCGCGAGGCTTAACCTTTCCTTGCGGATCGACCATTGAGAACTTGCCAGAAGTCATCAATATTTAACAGCTGCTGCTATTATGAAATTCTTTATGGGTTAATGTGGCTTGCCGGCTTGCACGCAAGGCCTTGGCCGCCTTCCAGCAGCCTGTCAGGAGGAAGGGGGGGTAGATTGACAGACGGCTCGCTCGCGTGACAAGCAGCCCTTGATCAGCCAGCTCCTCTCTCTCTCTTTTTCTCTCTCTCTCTGAGAGTATTGCTCTCTCCACTGTGGATTTCCTGTGGCTGCAGAGAGAGAGAGACAGACGTACGCAGAGAAGAAGAGTGCTGAGGGAAGAGGCGGGACTAGTCAAAGGACGTGGCAGCAAGCCAGTCGAATCTCAACACATGCATACAGTAGTCTTTACACGCACGCTATTACATGTTGTAGTCTTGTAGGAGAGGAGGAACCGTTGTGCCACACTGCGTCGTGCGCGTTCAGGACGAAAAGATTTCTCCGGAAAATGTGCACGCAGCCAAAAGATGGCAGCCATGCTGTTTCAATTACTGTAGTTTACAAGATGAGAGGGCCCTGGGGGGCAGAGAGGGGATCTGGTAGACAACGTGAGTCAAAGTGAGCAGGGAGCTCACACTGCACCGTGAAACCGGCTGCTGTTTCGTTGCGGAATCGGCCGATTTTTTCTCGGTTTGGTCTTCTGATTGGTAACCTGCAGGTGTGGGGGGCCAACAAAAAATATTGACTTTTATTTGAAACCTTTTCATTAAATGCACCGGGATTAAGAATTCCCACTCTGTCAGGACTTTTAACAAACTGGGTTTCAAAATGCACTTTGAACTTCTTTTTAATTTAATCCAACAGAGCGAACGGCAGAGAAACACGGCCTCTGAACGGGGATGATCTTGTATTTCCTTGTATTTCTTTCTTTTGTCTCTTAAATCCTTAACTCTGAACATCCACTGATAATTTAGTGAATTATGTGTAATATATATATCTATATATAGATATATATATTTAAATTTAGCCAAAACAAACTGCGCCAGCCACCACAGTCTCATTTCCACTGTGAACACTATTGTAAATGATAAAAACGACTTTTTAACCCAGATCAGCATAGACTGCATGTGCGACTGCAACGATGGGCTGTGATATGCTACTGAAATTAGAAGGAAATAGTTACGAAATGACAACAACCTGCAGCTGTGCAGCCAAAGAAGACACATTTGAAGAAGCCAGCACCTTCCAATAGATGTTACGAGTCAAATAAATTCTGGAAATTGATTAGAAAAAGTGCCGCTTAAAAAAAAAAAAAAAAAAAAAGTTGTAAATCATAACCATGTTGCATTTTTCACTCATAAAACAATGCAATACGTCACGGTGATAAAAGAAAATCCCATTTTAAAGTCAAGAACTTTTATGACTTTTGTTATACATCACAACAATACTATCACTTGCACCCGATCTCAACAGCTCTTTCTTTTAACGTTAGCAATTTTGAAGAAACGATTTCCCTCTCTTTTGTCTCTTTAGTCCGCGTCATAAAATCATCTAAGTGCCTCTTCGTTTTTTTCTGCCGGCTGCATTTCTCTGCGTTATTGTCTTTTTCAGCTAGTCTTGGTTTTACTGGAGGAAGTGGCTTTAAAAGAGGGGATGTTGACAACAGGCAAACGCAACCACACTGCGCTCTCTGCTCTTTTGTTGGCACTGCAGCCCGCGCTCACCTCTCCCCCTGGAGGTTTCGGGAGCAAACAGCTCGTCAGGAGGACTTCGTCCATGCCGGCAGAGAGCAGGAGGTTCTGAAACCGTAGTGAAAATCAGACACCAAGAAACGAAAAGTAGTTTTTAGACAATAATTGGATTCGCAAAGGCAAAAATGTGTGGTGAAGAGTCTTGGTCTGATATTAAGATTTGATTTGAATTAGTTTCAAAGATAATCCTAACCCGAAAATAAGGTAAAATACCTTTTGACGGCACTTTACACCTACGAAGATATTTCAACCCAGTTGTTAATTGAGATCAAACAAGCAAAATGCCTGATAACTCCCCACCCAAAGTTCTCTCTAAGTCTAAGTGGTCCTTTGTCGGCATTGCCATAAAAATTAAGTCAAAGAGTAACCTAATAATTGGGAGGTGGTATTGATATTCAGTATCCTCGGTGGAAAGACGTTTCTGGCCGACCGAAGGAACCAAACACTTCAAGCCTCACCCTTTTGGCAGCTTCCACCTCCCTGTACACTCTTTTTTCCTTTTTTTTTTTTTTTTTACCTAACACCCCGTCCTCACACAGCGCCCATAAACGCCTCACCATTACCCACTCTGTTTTCCTTTTCGGACCAGAGACGGAGAAAATTCCAGGCGAAGAAAAGCAAAGCCGAAGACGTTAGCGGGCGAGGAATAAAGCCCGCATTGTTGGCAGGGAAAGTGCCGGTGCCGATAATTAATCATCCCCAGTGTTTGTCTTTCCTGACGTAGCATCCTCTCCAAGAGCCGCCATAAGAGGGAAAACAAAAATATATGAGGCGTTGAAAGGGGGGGAAATAAAGACGGTCATTAGACTCATTTCCCCTCCGCAATGGTTTCCACTGGTTGGACGATATTCTGGTGATTGAACAGAAGGATTTTTCTGTGGGACGGCTGTCTACAGGTGTTTGTATGCGTTCTCACTTAGTGGAGGTGATGACAAAGTGATTAGCACAAGCACCGGCTTTCAGGCTGTCAGTGCGCTTCATGAGCTGCGTTTCAGCTTAAGGAAGAAACGATTACTTGAGGTGGAGAAAATAAAATCTTTTTTTTTTTTTTTTAAGAAAAGAGTCCAAACAAAACGTATGGATGCACAAGTCTCTATCTGCACCAAAATCGGTCGGTCCCCCTTCATGCAAAGCTGAGCAAAGATAGAGTGGATAGAATGAAGACGGGACAGTCGGAGGTCAAGGGTGATGAACTGAGGCTGTGATGAGGTTGTATGTTAGGGGGGGTGGTGTCGATCATAATGGCTTTCATAATGCAGATGGAGGTATGGGTGGATGTGAGTTGCGTGACTAATCTGCGCTTGCTACAAAGACTGATGGAGCAAAAGGCGGATCTGTCGGAGGGAGTCGCATGCCCCACCGACCGGACAGCCACAGGACAGACACGCAAACATGCCTCTAAACACGCATTGATGGGAGAGCATGTGACAGTTCAGTAAACCAAACTCCAGAGAGCAGGTGCCTCACAAAAATCTTTCATACTCCTTGAATGTTATCACATCGTTCGACGTTAGCAACCGCAAATTGGGAATTTATGTGACGGATCCACGCAAAGCGGCACAAAACTGTGAGATGGAAGGAAAATGAAAGAGGAAAGAAAAATCTTTGACATAGCTTGGCATGTGTTTTGTATTAAGTCCCGTTGAGTCAAGAAAAACACATTTTGCTGCATTTGAAGCTGTAAGGCTTTCAGAGTTTGTCTCTACCAGCTTTGAGACTTGACATTGTTGCTTTCTTCTTTGAAAATACCTCAGACTCACCTCATTCTCACCTGAACACACACCAGCCCTGTTTAGCCCGCTTAAATAGAACTATTTCATTTGCTAGAAAGTTTAGCTCTGATGCAAACCAAAACAGCAAATCTGGTCAGCCTACAAGTCCCAGTTCGGTTGATGTAAACTTTTCCGTGGCTCACAGTGAATGCTAAGCGGATCGTAGGCCGCTCCCAAAAGCCGGACACAAAACTATAGCGCAAGGCATTATGGGTAAATGCAACCAAAACGAAGGTGCGTGTCTCGCGCTAGCACGAGAAATACCTTGTCCTCTTTTACCAAAAAAAGCGAGAAATCCTACAAGTGCTAAAAACTGACGACACTCCATTTGTGTTTATGTTTTGTGTTGCGATCAGTGTCTTCTTCAGAGGTTTTCATGTCATTTATTTCAGTTGTTCTTGGTGCAGCGCCACCACAGGCTTCTCAGAGTAACTCTCTCCTTGCCCAGCGTTTCAAGTCAAAGTATTTGGTCGGCTTGCTCTTTCTAACTTCAGACAATGGATCTTTGATGTAACATTCGAAGAAGATCATTGAGCATCAAGACTTCCATAAGGCACTTTATTGTGCAGGCTTTCCTTTGAGAGAGAAAATATCAGTGAGGTTGGGGATAATGAGAGAGTGTTGTGATATTTTGTAGAAAAAGTAGCCAGAAGCAGGTTGTGGTTCTAGTTCTGTAAATTTACATCGGCAAATGTTCCCCTCTTATTTTCCAAATAGTCTTAAATTTATAAGAAGTCACTCTAGGAATTGCTCAAATTTTAAAAGTCTTGTTTGTACTGGATAAGATCCACTATTAATGATCCCTTCCAGGCTGAATCATACAGTATTTACTTCAACTACTAAGGATCTGAGGTTAGCTCTGCAGGTTGTGTAGCACGAACACATCAGTCTGACATCCCAGTTTACTCCACACTTTCTGTGATTGTTGGATGTGCTTTTTTTTCTTCTTTTTTTTTGTGCCCTGCAAAGTTATACAAACTCTCAAACTGTTTCCCTGCTTTTAAACTGACCCAACACATTCGCCTGGTGTGGTAACTAGCGTCCAAAAGAGAGTCTGATACGGGTAATGACTCTGCCACATGGCAGTCATTTTTTGAATTTTTTTGTTTCGGCCAGCATAGGGCTCCAAACATCTGCTCCTGCGTGACCGACGTGGACACGACCGAAAAAAAAAGACAAAAGCAATGATCTCATTGTTGAGTCTCTTTTGAAGTAATTGATTTCAGCCTCCGTCACATGTGCTGATGTATTTACGTGTTTTCTTTCTGCAGCGAGTCAAGACAAACCCTCCAGGAAGCACGTCACCACCCCAGCATCCTCTAACCCTGAACCCAGGAAAGATAGCCTTCCTCTGGGCACCACCATCAATGAAAGCAGCCTCCTCCTGGAAGTAAGAAACCATATGACCCGTTTGTGTGTGTGTGTCCTGTGTGAGTGACGTCTGCTTCTGATCGGTTAAGCAGAAAGTGTTTTCGGCATACAAACACCACGGTTTGGCTCGTTTTGGGCGACAAAGTGCTCCGTCATGTCACGCTGATGCACTTTCTATCCTTCCCCCCCTGTGGATGGCACCGTCTGTGAACTCGCCCTGCAGTTCACACACGTGCCTGTAAGAAGATTTGTCTGAGAGAGTTGCCCCATGGCGCGACCTGCCTTGTGGAGCCGTGGCGTTGCGTGACACACGGGGCGACACGGCTGCGGCGGAGCCGATGGAGGGCGGCGGGAACGCTCACAAGCAGCCAGCGAGAGAGTTTGCTTGAGCGCATCTCCTAGTCCTGAAGTTCTCATGGAGCGTGAAAGCGAGCAGGAGAGATCTCTTGACGGTCAAAGCAAATTGCGTTTGACGACACAATGGGACACGCCAGGACTTTAACGCCAAAAGCACATAAGGGAAGACACACGGACAGGCTGGTAGACAAAGCACTGCGCCCGCTTGTTGCTGGTGAAACAGATCGGGAGCACGCTGCATGGGAACTGCAAACACATCAGATCATTATTACACTCTCTATGACCCGCTGGCTCTCAGTGAGGCTGCAAATTATGACGTTGGTCATTTTCCAGCAGGCAGCGATTCAGCGCCCCGTCCCCTGATGCTGTTAATGTGTTAGGTTCCTCACAGGAACGGCTAACAAAAGACTAGATTGAGCGTAATGATGTTCCATCTACTGTTGCGTGACTCAGCTTGGACCGAAGCCTCATGGCATGACTGCCGACCGGGTTTTTATGCAGTGGAGTACAAACAACAAGATCAGACACCCCCCATCCCCTTCTTTTAGGCAATCTATTGCAGAACTTGAAAACTCTACAGAAAAACAAAAATGTGGTGAAGTTTCTTATTTATCATTGATTCTGGTGTGAGTGTACATCATAGAGAAAGCATTCAAATCCTTTCCACTTTTTCATCCTTTTTGGGTTCTTTTTTTTTTTTTCAAAGTGACAAGCTAACAAAAATAGTGCAAAACCGTGAAGTGGAAAAATCTGAAATTTGCCTTGAAAAGTCATTCGATTAGTGAATAGAGGCCACCTGTGTGTAATTTAGTCTCAGTCTAAATCCAGATGGGAAGGCCGCCGAGGTTTGTTGGAGAACATTAGCGAGCAAACAGCGTCGTGAAGACCAAGAAACACAGCGGGGCAGGTCAGACGGACAAATGTGGAGACATTTAAAGCTGGGTTAGGTTATAAAACAATACTCCAAGCTCTAAACACCTCAAAGAGCTTCGCCTGTCGCTTGAAGCAGGAAAGAGTGAGGCAAAGCTGCAGTCGACCCAACGGCAGCAGCCAAGAGGCCCGAGATAACTTTGGGAGCAGAAGAGGTCCAGGTGAAAGATTTTGTTCGATCTGATCCAGTTCCACTGTGTCGATCCAACCCAATCGGTTAACTCTCAGAATAAACCAAACTTCTTTGTTTAATGATGATTTTACTCATTTAGATTTTCGTCCGCTGTTTAAGCAAACGTAGCTTTTTCCCTTTTTTTTTTCTTCTTATTTTTTGCTTTTCCTTAACATGAACTGGCTCCATTTTGTCACTTGTTGGAACCGCAGAGCGGAGTCCGATTAACTCCTGCACTCAACTCACTTTCTGTATTTGTACAAGAGTGTCAACAAATATAGATAAATATGATCAATTGCAGTTACTGTGTTCAGTTTAGTGATACAAATCAGGCTTCTTCGAGGTAAATGACATCCTGAAGAAGCTTATTTCAAACAGGAATGTCTGCAGCTGTACGAATGGCATGCCATAAAGCTACTTCACAAAGGAAGTCATTATTTTATTATTGTTTTTATTTTTAAGCACAATAGTACCACAAAATATTGCGATAAAATCCTAGGTCTGTATGACGGAACAACCAGTACGAAGATGGCTTTTATAGAAAACGGGCAAGAAGAAAGTCTCTGCAGAAAGGAAACCATAAACGGTCCTGCTTGCCGTTTGCTCCATGACGTGGGAGACAAAGCAAACGCGAGGGAGAACTGGACATTTTTCTCCACATGGCGCCACAACTTTTAAGATGTTGGAAGTTAAAGGTTTTAGATTCTCTTGGCAGCTGTTTGTAGTTGCAGATATTTTGAGCCGTGGGACGGCAACAGGTGTCTGAATGACCCAAAAGCCTCAGAATCCAAGAAATGATGAGAAAGACATATTAAAACAGCATTCTGTGGAGCGTTGCCAGCGTTAGTACAATAGTTTTTGGGTTTATTTTCCTTACTTCCGCAGCTCTGCAGTTTTCACATAACTGCGGACAAGTGGAACGTATTTAGTCGTTCTTGCGTTTGTGTTTTATGTAAAACACGATGCAAATGCCATTCTGTGTCCCTCAAACCAGTAAACTCCATGCGATCTGCTCAAGCGCGTGAACGACGCCTGTGCTGCGCTCGTCTGTGATAGGTTTGCCAGTCGTTCCCTTTTTGTAACACTAATTGATGTAATCGGTAGAGAAAATATTAGCTTTTATTGCCTAAAAACGCCCTTTCAGGTTAAAAGACCCTGTTTGCTCCAGAAAAATAAAGCTGCCAGAGTCCTTCAGGGTTTTATTGCTGCATTTATTGCAGGATTTCAGTGACTTGGAGGACACATGGGAAAAAAGTGCACCACTGAGTCCATAAACTTGCATGCGACCGACATGAAAAAAAGCTGACCTCTTTTTGGCCCTGTAGGACTTCATGAAAACAACATGGCTTTCCTCTGTATATACAACACACGCTCACGTCTATTGTTTGAATGAACAATCGTGGAGATGAGCGTCGGCAGAAAGACTCGTCGTTTTAATCATTTAAAAGGTTATTCTGATTGAAATATCGGGGCGTTTTCACCTGCCGAGATACGGTTTTGATCCCACAGACTCCAGAATTGTTTACATTTCCAGCGCAGGCACATCAGATCATGGTTAAAGTCACTGTTTCCATGCACACTTATTAAACCTGGCTCTGGCGGTCTGGTTCTGGATGACATTACGCTCCAAATCCCTTGAAATTAGGAATCTTAAATATGTTGAGCTGCATTCAGTATTTATTCTTTCTTCCAAAAATGTTTGCAGTCGTGTGTTTTGAGCGGCTGCCAGAGCAGCATGTGTGTGTGTGTGCGTGTGTGTGTGTTTGGGGTCAGCGGGGGGACATGTGCCAGCAGTTGAACTTGTCAAACATCGTCTGCATCAACGCAACCGAGCACCTATCTCCCATCCTCCCAACCCCCCTCCCCCACCCGGCTCCTCTCTGTCGTCGCGCTCATTCCGGAGACGATCTTCTTTAATTGCGATGCCGTCGTCCGGACATGTTTCTAGGTTACGGCTTTCACAGGTCGCCTGTCAATGCATCACGAGCTCTGCGGCGCGAAAGGAGAGCGATCGGTTCAGTGAGTTTACAGGCCGAGTTGTGAAGGAGCGTGTGCAGTGGAACGGCGTCCCCTGTGGACGGTTATCAGATCACTTTGAGGTGTTTGTGAAAGGGGGAGGAAGCTGTGGGAGTGAGTGTGAATTTAGTGACCATGAGGATGTACTTCATGTAAAATACCTCACATACACACACATACACAGAAGCACACACACATAGATCCTGAATATTCTCGCTGTAAAGCAGAGGTGACAGACTCTGGCAGCAGCAGTCACGCAAGTCAGCCAGTCCTGCTGTTGTCACGCAACCCAAGCCGCACAGATGAGAGGACCCCTTCCACATATCCTTCCTGTAACTTCTTCCCCCCTCGTCTGTTTGGGTTTTTCCTCGTACCTTTCGCTTCCCTCTCCATCCGCCCGTCTGGGCACATCTACCGAAGCCGCCGCGTTGTTTATATGCAGCGCTCCTATTTGATCGGCTTTCATCTGGCTGCACAAACAAACCAAACAACGATGAACTTTCAACAGGAGCAGACAAGAAACGTGCTTTGCTTTTGGAGACTTGCTCACATTTATTTATTTGTTTCAAAAGGCCAAAATGGTCACTTTAGTTTTGAGGTGAGAGGCTTTGTGTCTGATAATCACTTCACTAGTACGGCACGTCTAGATGTCAATAGAAATGGCTTTATTTTCCCCAAAGAAAAACAACTTAAGAAATAACATGGGTTTCTTTTGCCTACTCTTCAACCTGACCTTCTGTGATGAATTTTCACTATTGCTAAAAATCATATTTATATATAAAATTATATAAAATTAAGAAGCCACTTCTCTGATTTTACTCTTTATAAGTATATGGTTGAGTAAAATGAACATTGTCCCTTCATTCTAAGAACTACAAAGGATTATTAATATTATTATTGACATATCTAAACGATTGCAGATTTGTTTTCCATTATGGCCAGCATGTTTAATTATCTGTCATTTATTATGTGCACATCTGGAGCTCCATAGATTTGTTCCATTTTTACTGACTCTTATGAAGACTTTCATACATTCATGAGAAGAAAAGGTTTGTCAAATGAATTTGTGCCACATTTAGCATCTTGCTTCAAAGACACATTTTTGTACTTTAGTTCCACATGTTACACGATCAGCCTTTTATGCTCAGTCTGTCGAGCTAAACTAAGACAGCTGAGAGAAATAAATGTACTTATTGCTCTTATGTTTACTTACTGCATGAATTACAATTTCTTTGTGTGTGTGTGTGTGTGTGTGTGTGTGTGTGTGTGTGTGTGCGTGCAGTCTCTCACAGGCTTTGCCTTGGTGGTGAGCAGCGATGGCATGGTTTTTTATGCTTCCTCGACCATTGTGGACTACTTGGGTTTCCATCAGGTGAGTTGAAAGTCTTCATATTTTAAATACACTTACTGCATAAGTCCTATGCTTCCAATTAGAGCAGATGTTCACATTCACAACAGTGGCCGAGGCTTTCGTCACACGTAGGTTGAGGAACTTGAGATTAAACAAATCCATATTCAAAATAACGAAGCTGCCAGGTGTGTGGGAAAGGATTAAGTGCATCAAGTGCTCAATGCTAATAATGGAAAGAACTCCCATTGGCTTGGGATTATGTGTTAATGGGAATACGGGGGGGGGAACGTTGAGGTAACAGAGAGTTTTCCAATCAAAAAATGTAAAAAAAAAAATACAGACTGAACTCGATTTTTGATAAAACAAATGAGTCGATCATGTAGAAATATTCTGGGGTGTTTTCACCGTCATTATGTACCAGCCTAACACACACTCTGGATGTCTGCGCAGGAATCAACCGACAATTTAACATTCTCCCTTTCTGGGGTCAGCGCCCCGACATCCATTTTAAATGATATTGACACTAGCTATCCTGTTCCGTCATGCTAACACCACCACTATCGTCTGAAACAATAAATAAATCTCTTTTCGGTGTTGAAATCTCTCTTTTGTCCGCAGGCAGTCGCTAGTCTGTGTGAATTTGTGCAGGGTTCATTATGGAACGACAACCTTTGAGAAAACAGCGTGAAATAAACTGACACTAAATTTTGGAAGTCTCATTTTATTACTTGGTATGATTCTTTGAGCCAATAATAATTGAGTTTTTCTACTCAGGGTTAAATTGTGAAAAAGGATAGTTCAGAATTATCTATGTAGTTATGCCAGGACTAATGGGTCAGAAACGAACTGGATTCTGACTGGATACTCTGAATATCTTTTCACACAGGTTCTTATCAACAGTTTTATCATTTGGTTGTTGCATTATGCTATTTGGTTATCCAAATTTTCCATCTTGCGGAGGCGCCAAGCTGTCCGAACAGTAGCGCTAAATGTAAAGTGCTCCCATAAAGGACAACGCTGCATTGTTTTCACACACATTTCAGGACAAAATCATTTTAACCATTCTGTAGTTCTTGAATTAGAGTTCGGATTCCACTGCCAGACGCAGCTTGTGCGACAAAACTAAAATGATCTCAATATTGCCACCTTCTTAAAATAATGGAATAAGTCTTTATGTATATATATACTGTATATATACTGTATATATATATATATATATCAACTTTTGGAGAAAAAAAAAATAATTATGCCACTAATTTATTGAGGTGATGATATTGTAGTTTCAAGAGAATTAAAGCATCAAATCTTCAGAGTTGTTCCAGTTTTCACACAGCAGTTCACCGTTCGCCCAACTGATTATTTATATTTATTTATTTATTTCATTACTCCATTGGAAGCAGAATGAAACATATTATTTCTCTCAAAAACACGCTTTTAAATTTTGCAGGTGTTTAATGTACATTTTGCTAAAGTCTGTGTGTTTAATGTAAACAATGGCAAATGCTGCAGCTGACATTACAAAACTGTAATATCCCATGTCGCATTATAACACGTTAGTAGCAGAAGGAATAATTGCTGGTCTCGTTTTAGATAAAACAATTTGATTATTTCCAAAGATTTCTGCTTTGAACCTTTACAAACCGTGACGGCTGACGGGACATACTGTCACCTGTGTGCCTTGCAGATGGATTGAACATTAAAATACAAATTAAATTGTCAAACTCCTGCCACGTACAAGCGGCTCTTTGTTTTGGTGTTGCGGTCGCTGTGGTGTGACAGTTCACCCGCCCAATGTAGCCGTTCCACATGGGTATTTTGCAAAAATGCGTGTTGAAGAGAAAGAGACAAGGTGTTGACACGCAAGGACATGACAGAGAGCCGTAACATCCCAGCACGCTAACCACATTCATGAGTATTTGTTGGTGATCAAAAGGTTCTATTTCCCCACATTTAGGACTTGAAAATGAGACACTCCCACCACCCCAAACACACATATGCAACATACTTTCCTTGGCAAGGCCTCAAACAAACACATTGCACCAGTTTGGGCCCATAACTGTAGTGAGAGGACACTTATTAATATACCACAGAAAAAACAAAGAAAAGAGAAGGCTCCACTGAGTGGCACCACAACAAAAGCCCCAGAGAGAGGCAGAAAACATTCACTGGTCTTTGATCCAATTTGTCACTGGAGCAGTTAGCCTTTGAAGGTCAGTTTAAACATCACTTACTCTCCCCTTCTTCTTTTTTTCCCCCCTCTTTCTTTCCCTCTCTGCATGTTTCTTTACGAGACACAAAAACAATAGTCACTCGATCCGTCTGTGCGCCCCAACGCCAGTAGGGAACCGCAGTCCGCGGGGCCAAGTGCTTTGCGAAGACGGTGGGAACAGATTGTGTTTTCAGAGGCAGGCGATCAAAAACCCTCGCGTGCCACCGCCATGGAAATTCTTGAGCGAGGGTGGGGGTCGAGGGAGAGAAGGGAAGAGGAGAAGGTTGAACGTTACTGCGAGGAATCTGTCAGGGAATGACAGAAAGCAAAAGTTATTGCTGGAAAAGAGAGAGGGGAGAGGCCTGATGAAAGTGGGATGGAGCCACGGCTCGGGCTGTGTATGTGTGGGTGTGTGCATGTGTGTGTGTGTGAGAGCGGACAGGGATGGGGAGGGCTGGCTTAGCCGGACCGCTGCTCGGGAGCCGGTGTCACGCAATGTTTGACAAACACAGCTGCCCTCTCTGCTCGTGCAGCTGCCCTTCGGCTGTTTGCTGCACTGACTAAATCCTCCTGACTTGTGTGTCTCGCTCTGTGTGTGTTTACAGGGATGTATATTGATCTGGCATAACGTTACGACAATCTGCCTATTAGTGTGTTGGTTCCCCAGACATGTTGAGGCACGGACTCCGTTAGCCGCCTAAGGTTGTGCTGTGGTGTGTGGCACCAAGATCAGCATATTTTTTACGTTCCGCTTGTTGTGCTCCTCAAACAATTCCTCAACCATTTCTCCTTTGCGGTGGAAGTCATTATGCTGCTGGAAGAGCCCACAGCCATCAGATTATACCTCACATGGTCTGCAACAGTGCTTAGGAAATGTGGAGCATGGCAACATAAACGTGAATAGCAGGACCAAAGGTTTTCCAGCATCGTACTGTCCAAAGTATCTCACTACCTATGCCACTTGCCTTTTTCTCCCATTATGGTTCTGATGTCACTCCTGGATACCCACATGACGTATCCACCCTGACCACCTTCTTCCACCTACGTGCTAACACACCCTCTTTTGGGTGCAGCCCTATGACTTTGGCTAGAGCTACAAATCAGCTAAATTTGAGTCAAATCCACTTTTTTATGACCATTTGAGATCCATGTAGCACAACAGACTGGCGGCCTGTCCAGGGTGCACCCCACCTCTCGCCCGAAACCTTCGCTGGAGAGAGGCACCCCTGCTGACCCCACTGGGGACGAGGGTGTGCAGAAAATAAATGGATTAATGGCTGGGATCCATATGCAACTTTTTTCACCACAGTCTGAACGGTCCGATTCCGATCTTTTCAGCGCCCTGCAAAATGAATCTGATCTCTGCCACTTCCACATATGGCACTACTTCCGATTTCATGCATCCGATAGTTTCCAAAGCGTCTGCGGAATGAATGGTCGCGCCCCGTCTTGTCCGGCTTTTATGTCGCTGTCGCGAGGCATGCATCATAATTCTGCAAAAGCCAGACGGGATGAATCTGAATGTAAACAAAAAAAAATTATGATCACGAACTTAAGAAAGACGTCTGTGTCACTGACGTCAAAGTCCCACCACTCTTCGCTCTGACTGCGTGTCCAAACAGACTTCCTTGCAGAAGTTGTAGTCAATGCTCCACTAACGGCCGTTATTAGTTGTAATTTCTTTTTATTAGCTTCCTTCTTATGACAATGCTGTCGGCTCTGAATAACTTTAAAATGAATCCATAGACAGCGGTCCTTGCGACACCAACTCATGCATTTTGTTTTGAGGTCATAAACTGTCACTCAGAAGTTTAATTAGTAGCATGAACGACCACGCAAAAAAAAAAAAAAAAATTAGCATCAACACCTCATGGGTGATGAGTTTAAGGAGTCTTTTGCTCCTTAAACAACAAACTGAGTTGCACTGTGTACTCTGACACAGTTCTATCATTACTGAACCACAACATCCCCTTCATTGGATGCAAGCAAACCTGCATGGTCCGATCAATTACCTCACATCCTTATTTGGACCACAATTTATAAATACCTACCACAGTAGACCACACAAGAGCTTCTGTTTCTGTTCAGCCGTCACATTTCAACCCTTTTCAAATTCACATTTAGACCCGTTCAGACCTTTTATATACTTGTGATCAATGCGTGTTCTGCATGTCAACTGAAAGACTAAAATGACGGGAGGCTTGAATCTGCCAATCAATATCAAACCCCCGATCCATCTTGGCAGTTTATGATAAACTCACAACCGCTGTGAACGTCACCGCAGAACGAGCGAGGCGTGCCAATGTTGCACAAAGTACGAGCAGAACAGAGATGATCTTCCACTTGATATAGGAAATGTATATCGACTGGCAAAATCTGAAGCAGATAATAACAGGACGAGAAAAACTTCCAGGCTTGTCTTCTGATTGAAACACTAAATGCATTTAAGCGTCCACCAAGAGGTTGGTCACTCAGAGCTTAGTCGGATTTCTGGAAATCCCTCTGATTGGATGAATGCTGTGTGCTTTAAGCCACACCCCTTTTGTTCTGCTAACGTGCTAATTGAGCTGAAAGCTAAAAGGGTCTGGACGCATTATCTTGAAATGGCGCAACTGGACAAAGCAATCCATAATAGGTTTTTATGGGGGGGAGTGGAGGGCTTGGTTGGATCTTAAAGAGGCTACAGATCACCAATAAAAAGTGTTTCATTCTTTATCACTCAACACTAAAACTTTTCTGAAATGAAATGACTAGAAAAGACTTACTTTCTCTAAAGCAAGGCATATGTATTAGTGAAACCCTCTGTCTGACTGAAACTTGTCCCCACAGACTGACGTGATGCACCAAAACGTCTTCGACTACATCCACATAGACGACCGTCAGGAGTTCAGACGCCAGCTCCACTGGGCCATGTGTCCCCCACAACATCAGGCGATGTCTGGGCCAGATAGCCAGTTAGCAGCGGGAACAAGTGCGTACTGCTCACGACTTTGTTTGGTCCCCCCGGCCCCCCACCACATAAATTGCTTCTCATATCCACATTCTTTCACCATGGTATTACAGGTGAAGACTTTGTGGTGAGCAGCATGTTCAACTCTCCGGAAGCGGGGGAAATCCCCCCAGAGCTCTCCTGCTTTCTCAACAGATGTTTCATAGCCAGAGTCCGCTGTCTCTTGGACAGCACGTCTGGATTTTTGGTGAGTGCTCTGAACCGGCCAAAGCAAACTCCACGTGGACCAAAAACAGAAGACACAAGCTAATCGAAAATTGAAATGAATGCCTTCGTACGACCAATTTTATTGCACAATTTCAGCTTTTACGGTTATTTCTCTAGCATTAATCGAGTTTAGGCCACACTTTACACCACTGCTTGTGACGGTCTCGAGAGCCGCAGAGGGAAATAATCACGGTCAAGAGTAGGGGAATAAAATGAGCATAAGTTTGAACAATCCTTGTTGGAGTTAGCAAAATGACAGATACAATGTCTTGTCTGGTTGCCATGTTCTGCCAAACCAGAAGCTCCACACGGCCGTCATCTACTACTTTACTGAACTTTACCTAGTCCCTGCTCAAAAAAAGTTACAAATATGACACAAACAAACAACTGTAATATAATTAGCTTTTTCAGTTGTGTTGCAAAGCAAATTTAAAGTGACAAATATTTGTTGCTGACAAGCTAAATGAAGATGGTGAATTAGCTGATCTGCCCATTTTAGCCTGCATGCTAGACGCATTAGCAACTTCAGGGCAACATAGCTCAATTTACAGAGCCGTGAATGCAGTTGTTGAGTCTTCCACTGTGTTTTTTGAAAAATATCGCAGTGTAATCATCTACTTTTGTCATTTTGAATTGTGACATGGTTTAGCGTAGGCTGATAAAACATCAACTGAACTGTGCCCACTCCTGCAGCCTGCAGCTCTCATCAAGATTAGCACATAAAAATACCAGCACTTTGTTGCTGAGTCATTTGATGCAAGATTGAATTTCGATTGTGCCACATGGTGTACCAAAAAAAATTTTTAATAAAATAACATTCACCAAGAGCTAACATTGAGCCACATATGAAATGTGCGCAGATACGTGAACATATATTTAATCTGAGTCAGTTATTGTTTGTTTCTGTTTCATTTCAGACGATGCAGTTTCAGGGTCGGTTAAAGTTCCTCCACGGCCAGAAGAAGAAGTCGCCCTCTGGGACGCTGGTTCCTGCCCAGCTGGGTCTGTTCTGCATCGCCGTGCCCCTCTTACTGCCCTCCATCACCGAGATGAAAGTGAAAAATATTTTAATGCGGGGGAAGAACAAAGGTGGAGGGATTATCTCTCCGATGGAGCATGGGTAAGAGAAATGACACTACAGGGCTACTCACTTTGAATGATTAGAAGAATCTGAAACTTTTAAACGGCTGAAAAATCAAATGGTCCTGATTCAAACAGCTGTCAAAGTGTTTAAGCCATGGCAAATTCAGGTACAAATTGGACTGAAATTAGAGAAGCAAGTCACTTAAAATACGCATTTGTACAACGAGGAAGCAAGAAATATATATATTTGCAAAATACGAAAAGCACAAACTCCACAAAAAGCAGATATTAGCTTTAATTTTAAGCCTAAAACACATGAATGTAGTTTGATTTCAGGTTTGCATCTTTAATCCATACCTCTTAAAAAAAGTGTCCCCACACCATGATGGTGCCACCACCGTACTCCACAGAGAAGATGGTGTGTTTTGATGGCCAGAATACTCAGTTTTGGTCTTTCATCAGACCAAAGGACTTTCATCCATGTTCAACACGGAGTCTCCCACGCTGCTTTTGGCAAACTCTAGTTGAGACCTATGAGCTTTCTTCACCGGGGTACTTACTTTATTTTATGAAGTCAAATAGGTACCACTGAAGTGATTCATGTTTTAACAAAGGCACAAAAAAAAACAGTATATGTCATTTCACGCAAGTGTTTGTGATTTATGGGTGGCAGGCGGGGCTTTAAAAAGGAGAAAGAAAAGAAAAGAGAAACTCAAATGGCACATCAACAAATGTGGGAACGGCTTCGCCATGTGGCACTGTCCATGTGTCTTCTGAAAAAAAATTAAATGCTATTTTAAGATCTTTGACATAGAGCTTGGCACTGTTGGACAGATGTGCATCTGTTTGAGATCACAGTGTTATTATAAGTTAAAATGAAGTTAAACCAAAGCCGCTTTATAGTATGTCGACGAAAAAAGAAAACAAATCATCTAATTTAATTCATTAACCCCTTCACTGGCGGCAAAAAAGGCAGAGTACTCAAACAAGCTAGATTTGTGCCATGGATGAGATAACGCCAATTAAGGGGTTAAAAATAGAAAGCAACAAATGTTTATACGCGATATAGCGCGCTGATTATTACAGTTGGAACATTGTCCAAATTTATTTATTATTATTTTGATTATGAGACAAAAACTGGAGGAAAAAAAAAAGAAACAATAAATTTAGAAAAACAGTCCAGAATATAACACCTTTTTAGTCACTGTCTTTCGATCTGATAATAGCAGTTAGTCAGGCTATCCGCTCCAGCAGTCACCTGCTAGTGTTGAAAAAAAAAACAAAATTTCAAAATACATAGGAAACGCTATTAAAATCACACATGAAGTTTGTTCACACGATGATTCATTTAAAAACACGCTGTGCCGTCATCCTCCTGCTACTTCCTGTTGCCTTGTTTGTAATTTCCACCAGAAGCAACATCCGGTTGTTGATCACATTTTGATACGGCCAAAAAGCCCCCAAAATGTTTAACCGATTTTTTTGAGAAGTGCTGCATTTTCTTTAAGCGAATTTATTTTTGCACTTCGAATTTGCGCTTTTACGTGGTGACTGGAAACGCAGATATCGGCAGACTGGCGCCCTGCGCTGGAAACTCCACTCCCACTGTGTTTGTTTGCTGCGCGCTGCCAGCCGACCTAGAGATCTTCAGGTTGTGCGTGTAAACGCTGTTGTTACTTCCTCACATGGGGCACATCCCAGAAAACATGAGTCACATGCGGAATTATTCTCATGACCACTGCAGTGAATCAAGGCGAGATATTTATTTTTTGACTCATCTCTAAGTAGAAAGGAAGAAAACAGGGCAATCCCAACGTAGTCACACGAATAGAGCGGCGATATTTCTGAAGCAACACCAGCCAAACTATCTGTCGACTCCACTGGGTTATTTGAAATTGAGGTTTTTGAAAGTGAGCTCTGGCTGTTCTTCATTAAAAGGATTGTCAAGCTGTGTGCATAATATGTGCTTTGTTCTTTAATAGCCAATAATGGAACCACAAAACATATCTCTCACAAAACCCTTCAATCAGATATGTTTTGTGTTGCTTTTTAAAGTTTATTCAGCCCAGAAACTCAATTGAAAACTTTTTAGCCCATTTGTCACACAAAGGTGATGAAAGTCAATTACATTTCACCAAACTCAACCAGGTGTTGATCACATTTTTGACATCAACGGCTGTTTTTATTCACATGTTTTGCTCCATTTTTGCAATGCTAGAGACAGATGGTAACACGGCTGCGCTCTTGGGGATAAAGTAGTAAAACATATTTATTGTTAGACATCCAACGGAAATATCTGTACATTGATAAAACACTTCCTTCAAAACTCTTGCGGGAAGCAAAAAATCTCAAAGCTTTCAAAGTCATCATAGAACAATCTCAAAATGTACAACGCAGGTTTTTCCCCTGAATACATCATTTTAAATCTACCAGAAAAATCTCCACCCTGTAGCTTGGTGAACACCATTTCCTTTCAAATTCAAAAAGCCTTCTTGGATCAATAAAACTAATAATGTTACAGTTCTCGCCCTGAAGGCCCCGCAGGTTCCTCCCTGTCATGTGTGTGTGTGAAATGTGCTGAGTCACTTTTAGCATGACGTAAAAGCTCAAGAGGCAGTGTAGTTGAGAGCAAGATAAAACTGGGGTCAAAAGTAATTGTGATTTTTTTTTTTCACAATACGCTCCTGAGAGCCTATCCGTACCGTGACGCCTTTTACTATATCAGTTTGCTAATTAGATGTCAAATTACTGCTTCAAGAAAGAAAGAACAACATTTCATACTGAATTTACATGTTGGCTGGTATCCGGGAAGGAGAACTTGTGAATAAATGTGGCCTCTGTCTTTTTCTCCATAGTGAACACGGGGAGCACCTAAGGAGGCCTTCCATCGGTGGAGGAATGGGTGACATGACAGACCCTCTTCTCTTCACTTGTCCCCATCCGGGCACTACACAGCGAAGTCACCACACCCTCTGGTCCCCTCTTTGCAAAGACAACCTCAAGTCCAGCTCCGACGGCTTCTATGGCCAAGAGGAACCTCTCAACTTCTGTAAGTCCTCCGTGGTGGACCACAAAGTCGCGGCCGCGGGCCTGGGCAGAGGGTGGCCCATGCGGCAGCGGGTGGGGCCTGTCAGAGCCACCCAGGGAGTCGGCTACATCCCATCCAACCGCTTGAACAGGACTGGCCAGTACGGGAAGCCCTACCGCCTGTCGCCGAGCTGCCACGGCAGCAGGGCCGCTGATGTGTACGTGTCGAAGCTGTACGGGTCGTCGGACGCGGACGCCTACTGCGTAGACCTGGTGAAGAGCGAAAACGACTTTGGGGAGTGCTACGAAGGCCACATGATGTCCGAGATGCCGCCCATCAAGATAGAGCACGACTCCGACTCGGAGAACGGATGCGAGACGTACGGTCAAACCTGGGCCTGCCGCAACCAGGCCACCATCGACCGTCACTACGGGAACGGGGCGTATGACCCAAGCACCGGTCTGCAGCTTAAATCAGAAACGGACTTCTACGACCCGCAGTACTCCCCGTGCCAACGAGGGAAAGCAGGAATCAGCCCCACATACAACAACGCCGCCTACCAGGGCTACGCAGTGAACAGCGGCGCTCGTCTGTTGAAGTGCGACAAAGACTTGGTCAGTAACGGCAACGCCAACCAATTCAGTCCTCAGAGACTCTCTCACTCTGACTCGCTGTGCGGCAACCAGCCGGTCAGCCTCATGGAGCCAAACGTCTACCCTCAAAAGGCGTACATGCACCTGGACTACAACAAGCACGGCGCCTACGAGTTCAAAGGTCACGGCTTGATCCATTCGATCAAACGGGAGCCGATGGACTCCCCGCCCTGGTCTGAGAACGGCCATGACATGAACCAGTCCATGGTGGGCGGCTCGAGGAACGTCATGCCGTGCGTGATGAGCACGGGCCACCACAAGTCCAGTCCCTACCTTTACATGCAGTGAGAGGACGACAGCCGCGCGTGAACGCATCAGCAGATATCTGCCCACACACAACCCCCGTCACACGCACAATTACACACAGGCACAAACAAATCAGTACGTATTAACTTGTTCTCCCCTTCAGCGTTTCACGTACACGTGTGCTAGCATTACGAAGGAAGGGTTACCGCGGCTACAATGATGTCAAACATTTTTCTCAAGCTTAACGAAAAGGTCTCAGGTTCAAAAATCAATGTTTTGACAATCAACAATTTGACTTTCAGAAGATGTTACTTTAAAAAAAAAAAGAAAAAAAGGTACAGATTTTGGTTTTTTGCACTTTTGGATTTAGTGAGAGTGAGCAAAATGTCCAAAAAAAATAATTAAGTTTTTGTATTGTTACACCTGGATTTTGCAAGGATCTGTTTTATTTTTCTAAACTTTGTACACAGGAGAAAACTTACATGCGCTGACACTTTCATTTAAATCGATGCTTAGTATGATGCACTTTGAAGAAGTCATTTTTTAAAATATTATTTTGATGTGTCACGTAATGCAGTCGCTTTCAAGGAATTTAAAACAAATTTTAGATGGGACAAAAAAACAAACAAACTCAAAAGGCTTTTCTTATGCAATAGAACGCCAGATAAGATAACATTTGGCTTTTCACTGAGACAATCTCACCAATTTGTGCCCTCATGTTTCTCTTCGTACTCAACATTTTCCATCTATGTGTATAAATTATGGCATATCAATTTATTTTAGTTTTTTTTTTTTCCAGCAGCAGATATGCATTAAAGGTATTAATACCCCGAGCAGATTTAAAAATGATCAACCACAAACTTAAAAAAGATTCACTGCTATCTAATTTTTTTTTTCTGTGCGGTAACATCTGGAAAAGCTACATAGATTTGTCGCTGAGGTGTGAGAAGTCATGCATGAATGCTAAAAAATGCTAAAACGTCCACTGAGCATAAATACCTGCAAGGTGCTATGTGATCATAAATCAAGAAAATTCTTACCTACATGTCAGAATTTACATGTAGGTAAATTTATGTAAATGAATTTACCCATGGTAATAAAACAAAAATGAAAAGATGTCATTGTTCAAGATAATTCACTCAAATCATGTGAAATCCAATCACCTTTGCTTGTTTTTATTGCTTATTGATCTCATTTAAAATCCGCCAAACGACAAAAGTTTTGTGTGTTGATGGACCAGATTTTTGTACTTTTATTTATTTTATTTTATTTTTTAGAAACCATTATATTCCAACACTTTGGCATAAAGTTTATTAAATATAGCACTACAGACTACTTTATTTTGAGATTATTTTGCAAACTATACCAGCAGAGCACAGTCCATGTGCAGGTAATCACCAAAACATGTTCAAGTAGCAGTAAGGCCAAAGAACGTTTCGCATCTCATTCAACAATGCTTGTTGGGTTGGACCCGGCAAGTAGAAGAGCACAGAGCCTCGCCCACGTCTCTGTGGTGTGTTTCCGTCAGCAGGGCGCGGTTGGATGCGTCGCGCCGCTTTTGCTCCACGCCGCTGAGCTCATTTTGTAAGAAATGAAGGGAGTGAAATCAGTCTCTGTGTGCTTGAAACACAAATACGATGCAAGCGCATCGGTACGTTTTCTGCACCGGTCTGCCCGAAGCAGCCGGTCAGGACAAACGTGACGGATTTCCATCGCCTAGTTTATCCAGCACATTAAAAGTGCATCAAGATGATTATATGTTTTATTTTCATTTTACCAGCTCACATCTCACTGCTGATTTGACATATTGTCATTGGGAGAAATGTTAGCTTTCCTTGTCTACTCTGTCTAAATGCGTCTGGCTTTTGTGTTCACGTCAGTATTTTTTTATTATTATTATTATTATTTTTGTTGTTGTTATTGTTGCACAAAGTCATTCAAGACTAATCCAATCTGAGTCTCAGTTCTGTGAAGTTACCGTCGTAGCTTCTGAGTTGCACTACTGGGAAATAGTTCAGTTGAAGTTCAGCCTACCCAGACACGTGTTTGAGTCGTCACGCACAACCGCACACGGTGTCACTGTTGTGGATTTGTCCTGTTTCTTTTTGTGTGTGTGTGTGTGTGTGTGTGTGTGTGTGTGTGTGTGGTGTGGGTGGGTGTGTGTGTGTGTGCTTATGCCTGCTCATGTCAATAAATGTTTCATGATTTGTATTTATTTGTAAATGGTAAGTGTATGATTAAAAAAAAAAAGTATAAATTTGAAGGCTCTCCCTGTTTTACTAACGTAAAGAAACAAAATGCTTTTTTCTTGATATCTTTTTGATAATTGTCAAAAAAGAGGCTTATCTCATGGAGGAGGTAGCTGCAAGGTAGCACTCATTGAATTTATATATATATATATATATATATATATATATATATATATATATATATATATATATCTGCAGTGTCTTCCAATGTTTTATGTGTTTTTGCAAATGGGACTTAAATATTAAAGATTTTCTTTACATATAAAGAGTCTGGGTGTTGAATTTTTGTCTGAAAATCACTTGAGGCATGACTGGCATAAAGGCAGCAAAAAGTTATCAAAACCAGTGACAGTACAGATGTTTTAAAAGGGTGGTATTATGTATTTCCCAGACACACATTGCCATTTTATAGCACAATCAATCAACTATGTTACCTTCAGTAACTATGAAAATGTGCTATATACCGAACATAAAGAAATTTGACTTCACAATTTGAAATAGTCCTCTGTCTCTTCACGAAGCACCTTCTGTTTCCGACATTCCACCTTCAGGAAGTCATCGCACATTTAACACCATTTTTGCCAGCGTTTTACTGATTTTATAGCTCAGTTCCACCCGGTGTTTGCTAATTGCTGCTGGCTAGTCTGTAGGACCTGCGTGGGGGAGCCACACTTCGTGAGACGGAAGCTCGGCCTTGGACTTAAGCTCCAAGGAGGATCTTTGTGGAAATAGGCGGAGCTTCGTGAGAGCCCAGAGTTTGGGCACTCCTGAATGGCTCAAGAATTTTAGAAATCAACATGTCATGTTTTTGATGAGGGAAGAACATTATAGAATGATGTATAGCTCTTAAACGACAATTTTACTTAATACCCATGATGAGGCAGAATGCAGGCAGGAAGAATCAGGTAGCTGCTGTGAAGGGGAGAAGACTAGCAGGCTCAGGGAAAGTCAATGATAAACAGAAAGCTGAACTGGGACCCAGAGAAATTAACATTAATCAAAGTGAACAAAATCCAAAAGCACAAAGGGCAAAATAAATAAACTGACTCGAGGATTATAACTCTGACATATTTCCATAGATTTTTCTGCAGCTTGGATCAGGCCAGTGTTCTGGCCAATCAAATGCGGTGATAAAAAGGTCAATAAACTGGGTATTGGTAGGTGTGTCTGGGTGTGTGTGTGTGTGTGTGTGTTCACCAAAGAGTGCCAAGTCCTGCATACGAAATCAGCATCTCCATAAAGTTTGTCAAAAGAAGAAAGCATGACGTGTTCTACGAATTTCTGGGAGAACTTTATCTGACTTTGGACTTGGTAAAAGGGTCACGACCACAAGCGTGACGTCAAGGACGAGTAACACACCCAATCATGACGCAGCACAACACTGTAAACGCCACATACACCATATTCAGGATGAGGAGTGCAGAAAAAGTGCCATAAATACTTTAAACACACGCGAGGATTTGTTGCTTCACAAAAAAAATGTCCACGTTTTGATGTCTCATATGGTGTTTTTGTTTGTTTGTTTTCTTTTCTAAAAATGTTAACATACTTGGCGAGATCGGAAAAAGTGTGGCAGCCACATTTGCACCCAAATCATTGGTCAGTAGACTTAATTGTTCTACAATATTTTTTAAGCTAATTGTGTGATTTTTGAAAACAAAAGTTTTCCTAGAAAGCAGCACTAAAATTTCATCTCTTGAAACAAATGTCGTTCAATTTTCCATCTAATGACTTAAATCTACAGTCACACCTTCAATAAGTTTGTACAGATGGGCTTCTTTTAAAAAGTATTTTGTAGCATTAATAAAAATATAATGGGTGAATAAATAGTTTTGAGAAGCATATTAAATTAGTCATTGGAGCTCTCTTGTCCTGTTGTCCTTGCAGAGCTCCAACAATAACCAGAGATTGTTCGCTGAACATCTCTGTCTCCTTAATGGCCTTTGAATTTTTCAAACATTTTACCAAGTGTAGTTTCCTCCTCCGGATTATCTTTAATCTTTTAATAAAACATAAACACCAGCGAGGATACGTTGCGCCGCCAGCCGCATTCGCTCCATGATTAATGTGCTGCGAAGCCGCCCTGACAGTCCCCACCGCACATGGTTCTCCGCTGCCTGGGACGGGGCAGTGGGCCCGGGGACCCGCTGGTGTCTCCCCCCACCCCACCTCCCCTCTCTCCAACCCCCAGAAAGAGCAAGAACGGCGAGCGAGCCAGGGGGAAAGACATGAAACCTAAAAGCCGCGGTTAGCTCCTGATCTCCGGGATTCCCGGGAGAGAAGGATTACTCCTCCTGCCAGGCGGTGAGAGCCAACCTACACCCGATACGCTCGGTTTGGAGCCGTCCCTGAACGCCAACATCACACACTGAAATAATAACGGGCCCGTGAGCCTTCCTCTTGAGCCTTAATGCTCAGTTTAACTTTTGGTAATAGTCGTACAAATCTCCATCATTTCTGCTGTGTGTAGAGGATTCTGAGCCTGGAGAGAGAAAGAGATCGGTGAAAGGATTAGTTGGCTGCACATATTGTGTCGAAACATTGAAACATGGACGGTTTAATGAAGACATGAATAATTCAAGACATTTTCATTTCCTCTCGGTCTTCATTTCTGTTTGAAGAGTTTGACTTCTTCTTCTTCTTCACAATTTTGTGAAACATTCGTCAAATAATGGTCTCAGGAGTTTCGGGGAGTTCGCATCGTATGGTGATACAAACGACGTCTGCGGGCAAAGTCCAGCCATAAAACTTGCCCGTAACTAAACTATTACAGAGTCAACCGTTAGCCGTATTAAAAGAGATCGGGAATGACCACAACTCAAGTTACTGAGCTTCTGCTGTGGCACAGAAAGTTCCCCAACTTTCTGCAGTCGAAAGCTACCGACCTCCAAACTTCATGTGTCCTTCAGACTGGGTATGGGACGCTACACAAAACGGCCGAGTAACAGAATCTGAAGCCCGCATCGTCAAGAGCGATGCAAAATATCAGAAGCGGTTTGCTAAGTGGACCGCATGGCGCTGATTCATCCCTTCTCCGACAATCCCCTGGGCTTGTTTGGCTTTTGGCAGTTGCCGGGAGAATGGCTGTTACCTGGTGGCACCGAGTGGGATTATTTTGTGGGGTGGTTATGCATTAGCTGGGCTCGGCACCTCTGTTCCAGTAAAAAGGAGCTGCGAGCGCCGCGGCGTGCCAAGTTATCTCAGAGGATTTCATGCCAACCGGCTTTGTGGGAACACTTTAAGGATGGCTCCTTCCTGTTCCAACTTGACTGAGAACCAAAGCACAAAGCAAGGCCAGCTTGGTGGGGCATAACTCCACTGAGCTCCTGTGTAGTGAGAACGGAAAGCCGGTTTGGAAAGGTAGATGGGTAAATACTTTTGGCCAAGATGATGTTTTTATTTTTCACCCCCTAAAGCTGAAGTACCTTTTGTGAGAGGCTTGTTTTAGCCACACACTGGCCTCTGACATTAGACTGAGGAAACTTTGCTCCAGTGCTGTTTGTCTTGCCTGAACCGCATGATTCAAGTCACCCCACAACAAATCAATAAGATCAAGATTTGTCCTTAAACCTGGACCCGGGAGTTCATACGCCTTAGCCGTAGCCAGTTTTCACACTTGGATGTTTTGGGCATCCCAAAACCACGACTCTTCCACATCTACGCTCCACATTTGGTCCGACGTTCTTTTTCCAGACTGCTTTATATTTTATACGTCCCCTGTCACGGTTTCCAAATGATCCTGGGTTTGTCTACTTCCCTCCCTGGCAAACTCCAATCCGGCCTCCGTGTTTTTCTTAGAGAGCAAAAGTTTCCTCTTTGCAAACCTCCAATGAAAGCTGAACTTGTCCAACCCTTTTCTGATTGTACAGTAAAAAAAACAAAAAAAAGAAATTGGGGAAAAAAAGTAATAAGTGGGGAAGCTCTTTTCATAAATTAGATGAAACGAGCTGGACCGCGTCCACCTTTTTAAAAAGAATGAAAGGGGAAATGTGAAGAAGCAGACATGGAAGAGTTTGGTTGACGTCTAGATCCAGTTGAAAAGCTTCTGGAGTTGATCAAGGCCGGCTTTCTGCTGCTTCGATGAGGCAAAATTCATCCAGCAACTTTCTGAGATCGAAGATTAAGAATTAGAAAATCAGACATTGTCAAAAGGCATGAAACAGCATTCGTCTAGGCGTTCCCATGCTCTCTTTTCTGCCAGAATCCCCCCACCCCCACCCCCCCGCCTCAATTACAATAAAACATGTCAATATGGTCTCCTTTGGCCACTTTAGGCGTGGAGATGCAGTCATGAAAACGCCGCAAACACAGACAAAAAGATCAGAATGTGACGGCTAAAACACGATCCTCAGGATCACGGGTGGCAGAGCTCCAATATGAACGTGGGAGAGAAGCAGAAGGAAAAGGATCAACGCTGTTCTGTCCTCATTACATTACTAAGACACGCTCTCAACCGTTCCCTTCGACTGTCAGAGACGGAGCAAATGAATTATTAAAAGACTCCGTCTGCATCTCTCAGGAGAAAAAGGAAAGGGGTAAATTTAGAAAGAAAAAAAACAATTGCGCGACGATTTCGTCAAAACTCTTGAGCATCTGAGCTGGAAACAACAGAAAAGTGGACTTTGATTCTTCTCAGATTGCTTTATTTTGCTTTTTACCATCGGTTCCAACAGGATATTTAACTCTGCGTAAGTGTATCGGGAAATAATGAGAAAATCACGTTTAAGCAAAGTTATTGTGACGGTAGAGGAATCAGTGTGGTGTGCAGAAACATGAATACATGAATATTGCAAACGTCATAAGTCCCTTTCACTAAGACCTACATTTATCACCCACTCATCTAAACATGTTGCAGTATTCATAAGTCGACAAAAAAAAAAAAACTACGGCCAGGTGGAGCAACGAAAACAAGATTAAGACGAAGATGAAGCCAAATCTTTAGCTCCAGTCTTTTCCTCCTCAGCAGTAGCGAAGACGCCCAGCAGGAAGTTAGAAAAGCGGCTGTTTAAAATGAGCTGCTCCCTCAAACGTTCGCCTAATTTCTGTGGCCGGCACAGTGCATTCTGGGATTGCTACACACAAAGACAGAAGTTAAAGAGAGAATTTTCCTGTTTGGTTTTTTTTTTGTTTGTTTGTTTTTATTACAACCCGTGACATTTCTGCGTTTGTCCACAAACAGATATCCGCACAGCGATGTTGTCGTTTTGTTTTTTTCCGTTGATGAAGTGTTTGCCGTGAGGCGCCGTCGTCCTACTTGTTCTCTGACATGAACATAACAAAACCATGAAGACATAAAGCCAAGCTCACAGTGACTCTACGTTCCCTTCAAGATTACGTTACATTAGCATGAGAAGCCATGAGCTCAGGGAAGCCCAAAGAACTAAACAGAAGAATACCACAGAAGAAGAAAGGAGGCAGGAAGGCCTGAGCTCGAAGCCACGGAGGTTTTTGCAATATTTACAGTGAAATATGGGAACTCTCTTGGCGACAGAACACTTTTTCAGTAGTCCTATAACAAAACAATGACTGTAACCTAGTTACACACACGCAGAAAACACAACAAACTAGCGATTTGTTCCTGTTATGTTTCATCCCTAGTTACGTGGCACAAGTTTATAACTCATTAAATCTGGGAAAGGGAAAAAATAGATAAAATGCTTTCAGAACGGCCGCGGCGCCTCAGTGGGCCAAAGCTCAACAAGCGGCACGTTTTCTGTGGTGAAATCTTATTTCCTGCTCCACACATTGAAGCAGCGAACAGAGTACGCTGCAACATGTAGGTGAGAAACTCGACAGATGAATAAAAAAAAAAAACAACTAAAAAATAAAAAGGAGCAAAGTCTGATATTTGCATCCAGCTGACGTCGTCCTTCAGATCCAACGCGTTACGTGACGTCAAAGCCCGGATGTGCCACGGTCCGTAGTTACTGGCGCAGCAACCAGTGGTAGTGAGTCTGCTCAGCAGCTCTTGGTGTTGCCTTAATATTGAAGAGTGGTTCATCAAAAAGACACAGGTTTCTCAAACAATAACTCCATGTGGATTAAAGATACACTGAAACCAATATAACCTGGTGTCCATTGTGTAAATGAATCAATTCCAACTTTTAGAAGAAGAAGAAACATAGTTTTTAAGCTTCATCAGGTTCATTTGTTCATTGTTATTTTGACCTGTCGCGACACCAGGCTTTCATCAAAGCTCCTCCTCAACTTGGACCTCTGCGGCCCTGGCCTCAGACGGTCAGCGACGCTCTAATCACTCCTCCTTCTTATCCCTCTCAGGAGCCTGTGTTTGTTTCTCCTCACTTAGGGACTTACGGGCTGAGCCGGGATCAGTTGGTGCCGGGATTTGACTAATTAGGATGATTGAGTGTTTAGGTACATTTTGTGCACGTGTTGGTGAATATCAAGCACCCATTAGGTAGATGTTAGCGTGTAAAGAGAGTTGAGTAACTCGCTTAGGCAGCAGGACAAACAAAAACAAACGAACAACAACAAAAAAAAAAAAACGCCAGTCAAGTCAAGATGGGTTTACGGGATCAGCAGCCGGGCAGCTCACAGTGCTGCACGTCACACAGCGATCAATCATGAAACACGCAATAAATTGTACATTTTGTCAATCAAATACACATCGAATATGTTGATCAATGTTGATCAGACGGGTTTTTAGACTTGATTTGAAGGTTCTCTGTGTTTCGGCTGTTTTGCAGTTTTCCGGACGTTTGTTTCTGCATAGAAGCTGAATTCTGCTTCTCCATGTTTGGTTCTGGTTCTGGTTCTGCAGAACAGATCCAGACGACCCGACAGGTCTGGAAGATTGAAACGACAACAGCAGCAGATCTTTAATGTGTTTTGGTGCTAAGCTAGTCAGTGATTTATGAACTAACAGAAGTATTTTTAACATTTGAAACTATCGGTTTTGATTTAAGCATCTGTTCGGTGCTTGGATGGGTTCAGAGTCACCTGGTGAGCTGCGTAGCTACGGTAACTGATCTCATTTAATATTAAACATAATAAGTAGGAGGGATCCCAGCACTGAACCTTGGGGTACCCCACATGTAACTGTTGTCTGCTTTGATGACCGACAGGCCCTGTTTAACAATAAAATAAATTCTTCCACTTTTATTCAGGGGCGTCAGTGTAAAGGGTGCGGAAAACATTATTATTATTTTTTTTTTTTACCTTTTTTGTTTACAATAAAATGCAAAAATGATGTTTTTTCCAGAATTATGCCCTTACTTTATGTTGCTCTATCACACAAAAATGCAGAGATAAAATAACTCCACTTTGGCACCAATCCGATGCCAAAGTGGAGTTTTCTCAGGGTACTCTGGCTTCCTCCCACAGCCCAAAAACACCACCGCGAGCTGGAGGCATGGATTTCCCCGTTACTCTCATCCACATACTTTGATTGTTTTTACAAAAAAAAAACAAACAAACATAGCAATTACTATAAAACCAAACAGACATAAAAAAAAAAAAGTAAAACTGAAGAATAAAACGAATTTTGAATATATAACTTCGATCAGACTGCCCGACAACGAGGAAGGAGACGAAGTGAGGCGGACGTGGACGTGGAAGTGAGAAGAGACGCCGAGACGAAAAGAGGACATCCAATCAGGAGGCAGCGGTGGGCGCTCTGGGCAGCTGTGGCGCGAGCCACGCCTGATGCGTCCTGACAGCTGTGTCTGTGAGGCACAAGCAGTCTGTGAGTACATGAGTCGGCTGAGATCAGTAATACGTTTACAGTGCAAAGGTCACATGAGCATTTATATAACTCTACTCTTCGGCACGTACACCAACATCCTTCTGTACGTTTGTTGGACCAAAGGAAGAAACATCTTGTCATAAAGACACTGTTGGCTTTTTTTATTTATGGTTTTTAACATTTTGAAGTATTGAGCGCCAGAGCATTTTGAATGATATGTTAATATTTATTATTATGTTGATGAAAGTTTCCTGTGTGGCAAGAAGGCTGAGTGACCTCACTTTTAATCCAATCTACCCATTTATATGACTAAAGTTGATCGATTGATTAAATGTGTATATGGGGAAATTAAATTACAGTTAAATTCATATGTGATTTCTGCCACAGGGGATTCAGCCTTAAAAAGAAAACCGAATACAAATAAACTACTTTTTTTTCCCATCACTATTTTTAAATTACAAAAATAAAAACGGTGAATCTTCCTCCGTCCACTTTGCATTCGTGGAGAACCTTGTGTTGCCCCATCCCATAAAAAAATCCCACAGAATTACACTGAAATGTGTGCTTGGTTGGCGCACAATGTCAGAACCTTCTACTAAATATACTTCATGAGAACCTTTGAAGCACGGTCATAAAATCAGATTAAAGCTTTTATTTTCACATTGCACAATAAAAAAGATATTTTTGAAAAATATGTTGAATAAAAAAAAATATTACATCAAAAGAAAGAACAGCAGACATTTCAAACGTATAGCAGCCTGTAAAATATTGAAGCTTCCCACTAAAAACACTCCAACTCTTTGTTGGCCTCAATTAGCTAATGAAGGACAACAAAGCACTTCACCTTAATGCTTATTTTCGTAAGCCGCTTGAGTCTTCATTAAATGGCTTCTGTGTCAAAGGCAGTTTAATGACACCAGCTTCCAGGTTTCATCGGAGCCGATGGCTTCCAGGAGTTTACAATATTCCTCACACTTTGAAAGAAACAGGTTTAGACACATAACAACCAACCCAATGGCTTTTTGAGGGTTATTTCGGGCTTCCCTCTCGTAAAACAAGCGGTAGGATGAGTCGCACTCATCATACCTGGTCAACGGCTTTGCTTGGATAAAAAAAAAGAAGTGCGGCATTTAGAGCAAATAAGAACAAGGGCCGGTCCAAAGCGTATTTCTGCATCCATAAAATCACTTTCCAAACTAAAAAACAAAAACAAAACAAAAAACAAAGGAACGCTCTTGTGGTTCCATAAAAATGCAGTTTGAAATCTTTTACAACGTTCAGAACATATTCCAGGAATGGAATGTGTTAAGTATAGGCTGTGCTTTTTGTATGCAATACAAAAAGACATTGGGGTAAAAAAAAAACTAGAGCCTCAGAACATAAGGAAAACAAGGGATTATCGATGAACTCACGTTTCCCTCTTTTCATCAGAGTTATCCCTCCCTCTGATCCAAAGCACCTTCATCACTAAAATCTACAAATAATCACACCAGTGTTGCCAACTTAGCAGCTTTTGAATCTGTATTTAGGAACTGTTTCATAAAAAAAATAGAAAAATTGGTTTTGGCCAAAATCTGGATGGGCAGGTCAGGAGAGCTAAAGTCTCTTTATACATGATGAGGGTGTAAATAACCGATTATTTACTTCTGGCTTATTTACTTCTATCCGGCAAACTAGGCACTAGCAGCGCCAACGACAAAGTGTTTAACATGATGTAAACTCCAACACCACAGAAACATGTTCATGAGGCAAATATTAATAACCACGTGGAAGCCATTTTGGATTTTGTCTCTTGAGTGAAAACAGCGACTTCAGTGGGCTCGCGGCTTTCTGGTACTGCTGGAGCGCCAGTTTGAGGAGGATGGGTTCCGGGCCCCCGCCATTCTTACAGTCAGCAGATTCCTTTCAAAAATAAAATCCAGAACGTTGTGGTATTGAGACGAACGGTGGTTAAGAATGGAAATGGTTTAGGTGCAGCTGAAAGGTTATTCAGTGCAACCCGGTGATTCATAAACCGGGTATTCAGGCCACAGCTGACCGTGAGTCAGCCTGGACACGCACGCCCCACATGGGAGACACAAACCAAGTCACTTAGATAAACGTTTTTGGAAAAACACCACAGATTCAACCCTTTTTCGCCGCAGACGACAAGCAAAGCACGCGTCTGATTTTCTCGTGAACTGTGTCCTCCTGGTGTCAGGCCTCAGGCAACAAACGCTGCACTGCGGATCAGCGGGACCGAAGTGAACGCTTTGATGATTTCCATGTGAGATTAGGAGGAGAAAGTATGGCGAGATTAAGGGAACCACTGTTTGTTTGGAGTCGTACTCATGCTCCAGTTGACTGATTAATCTGTGCGGCTTACACAAAAGCCCGAGCTCAGAGCTCCGTTTCGCTGGCAAATGCTGCAGCCTGCTGGTGAAAACTGTGACCTGCAACGAAGCTCGTAATGATCAAGGTTACCCACCACCACCTCCACATGAACTGGGACCCTGGCCTTGAATTATGTGTGTTTGCTGGGCGGATATCATCTGAATGTTATGAAGAGTTTGTGGAAAAGAAGAGTGCGGCTTATAGGTCAGAATCCAGGTCACCGTGACACGATTTAGCTCAGCTTTACCTGAACTTAATCCGGTCTGCACAGCGCCCCTCCTTGTTCAGGAACTACAAGTGAGCAGCAGCATTAAGCCCTACGCAAAGAAAAACAGCTCCAGCATAAGACTAGCTTCTAAATTATCATGGAGTGTGTAAAACACAGAGAAATTCTGTAACACTGGCTTTATAATCTGTGTTTTGCTCCCAGCAACAGGTTCGGAAAGTCTGCTAATTCTTGTCATTTTGGGGGCAAACGTCAAAGATTTTAGGCCACGCAACGCAGAGTGGTAATTGTTTGCAGTCTGTGCATCGCCGTGAATTTAAGTGCGTCGGCCTGCCAACATAAGCATGTAATCCAAGGGTTTATTTCAGGATTACTGATAATCCAACTGAGGCTTTTATACAATATATAACTGATCTCTGACAACATGATTTAGATTATAGTGAAGGGAGTCTATGAACAGACAGCTGAGAGGAACTGAGCAAAATACAAATGGCTTTTTTTACTGGTGCGTCTTCTTTGCTTGAGTCCTGGTTGGAAAGTTTAATGAGTGCAAAAAAAAATAAAATAAAATTTTACCAAGTATTTTTGGTGTAGTTTCTACAGTAAATAGATGATCATAGAATAGAGTATCAGGGTATACTAGAAACAATTAAAATGACAAGAATGAAGTCAGAATATTATCAAAATATTTCAATTGTACCAAGATATTTCCACTAGAAACTGAACCAAAAATACTTGGTAAGATTCTGTGTTTTTGCTGTGTAAATGTTCCTGTTTCAACCCAATGGAGCGTCACTCGGCCTTCGGTCTCTGTGAAGGGGGTTTGGGTTTGTAATGCGTTATGATTTGAATCAAGACGAAACAGTTCACGACTAAGAACAGCAATCCGGCGAGCCAGACCAGGACAAAAGTGTTGACGCCTTCAAACTCCAGAAAGTAGGCGGGGGCCAACCAGAGAGCCTGTATAGGGAAAAAAACCCGATGAGCGCAGAAGAAGATAGTTTTATTTTACAGCCTGAAAATGTAACTTTGTGTTTTCTGGTCAGCTTACAGCAAGAAATAAAGAGAAACCTTCGAAATTTCCTTCAGATGCATCTGCATACAAAGTTTTCACTGCAACTTCTTTAGCAAGCAATTCGTTTTTAAGCGTTTTGGATAAAACGCTTAACATTTCCCACGGCCTTAGTGAGACGCTCTGGTTGAGCGCGGCAAATGTCACAGTCGGAAAGCGGGGGAAATGGGGTGAGTGGGATTGTCCCGTCAGACAGTCAGTTTCCAAAAATTGACAGTCCGAAAATTTGTTTAAAACTTGTAAAAAGCGCACACGGGATTGCTGAGACTTCGTTGGACCTTGCACAGAGTGAAAAAAACTAATTAATTGTCAATGACAGCTTGTACCAGTGTAAGTTTGTTGAAAATGAGAGAAAACAAAATAATAAAAATATCAATTTCAGATGGCCAGAGCTACAAGAATTGATATAAACTGTCCCAACAGGAACATAAATAATGTGTAGAGGTGAATTACCTGTCCGGCGAACCAGACCAGCAGCAAACCCAGACCCTGTTTCACTGATAGAGTCAAGTGTGGGATGACCAGAGGCAGCAAGCACAGGTACCACAGGAAGTACTAGAAACAGAAACAAGTCAGGAACTGTTGATCCATGTAATTTACTCTCTGTTACAACAGAAATATTTGTCACAAACGACAGGACAAAAACATTTAAGACGTTTTCTGAAATGTTTTCACGTGATTTTTGGTGGATTCGTTTGATACACAATGAGTTCAACAATGGTTTTGTTAAAAACGTTACACTTCCCTTCATACACAAGCCTAACCGCTCAGTTGAAAAGAAAGCAAAACAAATCAAAGTCGAAAGAATAAATAGACTGAGAATTCATATAAAAACATATGTCAACGACATCTTAATTATGAAGCACTTTAAAAACAACATCAGCTGCATCAAAGTGCTGACAAAAAAGAACAAAGCAAGCAGTAATAATAATAATAATCGAAAGTAATAAAATTAGTGGAGCTGATTAGTAGTAACTCTTTCTTTTAATGCAAACGCCATGTAAAAATTTTTTATTAAATTTCCACAAGGCTAATCAAAAGGCCCACATTTTCTTTATCATCAAATTAGACAATTAAAAATAAGCTACATTTTAAAAACATACATTTTATTATATAAAACACATACATTTTTAGACATGTTCTTTTGTCTTGAGTTCTTTTTTTCAACATTCTAGACATTAGGAGAAAGAAATTCAAGTAGAATTTTTGAACATTGGTCCTTTTTATCTTGTTGCAAAAGCAAAGCAATATCCAGCCAAGTGTTTTGTTTGTCGTTTCATCCCGACCCGGGTTTTATTTCGTTTATATGACCGAGCATGCATTTAGTCGTTACGTCCGAAAACATAATACTGATAGGAAACGTTAAAAAAAAACAACAAGGTGTGATGTGACAAATTAAAGATAAAGATGTAATAAGAAAAAAAATATTTTGTCAAGAAATATTAAACTTTTGTCTATAAAAGCAAAGAAAAAAGATCTGGAAAAAATATTTTCCAAACTCAGTTTTATTTTTCCATACTTCATCAGACATACAATACTGCTTATTAACCCTGACTGAAGGATACATCCTATGAGTGGTCTACGACTTGTCTTACCTGTGAAGTGCACACTTTGTTGAAGGAGACGAAGATGGCCGTATTGAGGAAACAGGCAAAGCCCAGGTCATGGTGAAAGCTCCAGGATGCCACCAACAGCAGGACCAGCTGAGGCAGAAAGGCTGCCAGGCCGAGCCACTGGCTCCCCCTGCTGTCTGACAGCAAGAAAGGCAAAAAAAAAAAAAATGAACCCACGAGATTGTACACACCTACACCACTTGTTCTTTTATTCACTGTTACACTTAAAAAAGAAAAACTGCCTGGATTATTGGCTATTTTCTCATGAGCTCAGACCAGAATAACAACTGCCCCCCCACCACCATGCCTGGACTGATGAGTACCTGCAGTCAGGTAGAGCATGTAGAAGTACGGGGAAAAGTTGTGCTTGATATCCCTTCTTGTCAGGTGGTACAAGTACGTCTCTTGAAGAAACGGCCAGCCATACCTGCATCCACAGCAGACGAGTTGTCAGAATCATAACTTTTGTTTTTCTGCCTTTTTTTTTTCAACTTCTAACAACAGATGATGAAGAACAAAGCTTGCACTGAATAAATAAACTACGCCATGCACAACATCCTGGAGAGAAGTGACTAAATCAAACCTTTATGTGTTTGCCTCACATGTAATAGAAAAATGCTGTAAACACGGAGAAAACTCCCCCGGCCACAATTCCAAAGAGGATCAGGTCGCGGCTCAGGAAACTTCCGAGAAATAGGACACACTTCTTCCACGTCCGCGTGGGTTTGCCTTCTGCCGAGCCCGCCTCCGGCGCTCTCAGGGTCAGAGCAATGGGCAGGGCATACGTAATGGGATAGATCTTCATATGAACCGACAGGCCGTAGAGCACGGCCGCCCACACCAGATGCCTGGCTGAAAGTAAGAAAAAAAATGCATCAGCACATGATGTTACGGAGATAACATGACAGCAGCAGTAACATCCATCTATTCTTTACAGAGGCATTAAGCTCCCAGAGGTTCATAGAGTTCTTACTTTTCGTAAGGGCTGAAATGATTCATCATTACTGAAATAAACCCTAACTGAATTAGTAATCAATTAATCTGAACTGAAGTGGAAAAACTAAAAAGAAAAAAAATGCAATTTCTTGAAAGAACAGCACACTCAAAGCAGTGATTAACCAAACTTGTACAAAAACTTGCATTTAAGACAAAAAAAAACACTTTTCTGTAAATATGTTCAACCCAGAACTCATATGTTTAACTCAACCTTGTTTAAATTCAGTGAAAGAAAAAAACAACTGCTCTCCTGTAGCACTTTTTGCTTCATTGTACTGATGTTAAGTCATGCATAAAGTTTACACATGTTGATGTTAGAAGTAAAAAGTATCAAACAATTGATCAAGTGTACACTACAGGAATGCAATGTTAGTGCATTTAAGACATTTAAAGGTTTATGTTCTTATTTAAAAGTTATGCGTTTGTTTTAATCTCCCAGTGAATCTTTAATACGGTCTAAAAAAGGCTTAAGTGGGAAAATGAGCATGATGTGTGAATTGTTTTCATCCGATTAATCGTCTGAATAATCGATATAACAAATGATCGTTAGTTGTACCCCTACCTTCCATACAAAGCAAAGTCCCGAGCACCAGAGCTGCCAGGATGGATTCAGCGTTGCCCCGACTCGACACTCCCATCGGCAGAGGGTTGAGAAGCCAAAGAGAACACACAGAGGTCGCAGTCTGAAAATAACCGAAAAGAAACGAGTGACATGTTTCTCATCTAAAACAAGCAGAAATCGGAGAATTGAAAGGAAATGTTGCCGGGTCAGACCTTGCGGTCCAGACCTCTCAAACGCAGAGTTCTGTAGATGAGCAGTCCTGACAGCACGTCACATAAGATGAAGAGGATCTTTCCAAACACCATGGCGACGTAGATGTTTGGGGTGAGAAGCCAGGCCAGCAGAGGGGTGTAGCGGTACGTCGACCTATTGTACGGAGACTCACCCTGTCCAACAAATACAACACAAACATTTCTGTTCAATAACAAAAAGGCGAGTTTCATTTAGACAGCCACGGTATTATAATCTTTGACATACAGATTGGAATATTGTATGTCGTCCTCTGCTGACACCTGGTGGCAGGTATGATAACTGAAGCAGAAAGTTATAAGTTGTGGCATACCGAGTGCTTTAAAGGAACAAAATGCATACATATTTTATATCTTATAAAGTGAGAATGAAAGTTCTTAGCTTCGCTTGAAATTTTAAATGTTTTTACAAAATTTTTAGAGATGATACGGAATGTAGTTGATTCTAATCCGCGAAGCAAAACAGGAAAAAAAGGCAATAAACCTTGCTCCTTAGCTCTGAGTTTTGTCATTCCTACAAACGTATCAGCAGCTGATAAGAAGGGGGAGTAGCTCGCTACCTACCTGTGTGATGAACCTGGCAGCATCTGTGAACACATGGTAGTCTATATCCGTGTACTTCACCGCCATAGTCCTGTCCTGGTAGTCTCCATAAGCCACCAAAGCCAGTCGGAGAGCAAAAGAGGCCGGGAAGAGGACATGTTTGTCGGGGAGCTTAGACTGAAGAGTCTCCATCAGTCAAATTCTTGCTATTTAGCAGTAATGAATGACCACAGCTCAAACATGACAACCCGGAAGTCAGAGGGATGTAAACATCGTCTTCTTCATCGAACTTTAGAAACTCTTTGACTGCTGCCACCTTCTGGAGGTGGGTAAGTACTACAGCATATATTTTACTCTTCATAGCTTTAAACAGCTGCACAATTTCCCGTCTGAATTGTGATTTATCTGCCTAGAAAGAACCAATCAGAGCCAGGAGGCGGGTCTTAGTGCTGTCAATCACAACATGTGCGTTCGCTGCAGCCAGCACAGCCTGTTGGGAATCCTCAAGCTTGTTACGTAGTCACCGATGATGGCAGACAAATGGCTTTCCTGTGTTTGTAAGTTGTTTCTCTGCTATTAGCACATTTCGCAGGATGTCCATGAGTCAAAGACGCCTGAAAATGATCAAAATGGCTGACTTGCTATTGGGTTTAGAACAGACCTCTAACAGACTTTTTTTTTTCTCAGTGGTTTCTATCTAAGCACCAAATTTCAGCTTTGTCTGATCTACCATTTGGCTTGTCTCACATTTGGGGGCTATGTAGAGCCGTTTGGCCACCCGCTTTTGATTTCGTTAAAATGCTCAAATTTCACCTGGAGGACAATTTAAAGTTGAATGAGTTTTCATATATGTTCAGGCCTCCAAGCAGGCTCCTTTTTTCAGATTAGATAAATGAACATTTGGCATTTTTACCTAATTACTTTCTTGTTGAAAACTAGTTTTCTGTACTTGTCTCAGCCAAAAGAATCAATCACAACAGAGCTTTCACACACATACATGAACATATGTTCCCATACAAAGCACAAACCGACTGTGCTCATCTGAATATGACACCGCCCAGAGTAATCTCTCTCTGCCATAGAAATCCTTCTTGACTACATTAAGTCTCGGGTTTCTTTCCGTAAGCAGAGTTTTTCCATAATTTTCAAAGAAGAAGAAACAGTAGAAGTATGCTAATAGAGAATTGGTTGCACAGGTAAGAGTCCAGTTGTGGTAAAGATTCTTATTGAACCAAAAAGAGAACTACAGGAATATATTTAGTACATTAATAGTATATAGATTGATGTTCTTGTTTCATACTTAAATGTGTACTTTTGTAAACTTAAAATTGATTTTATAAAAGTATTATTTTATTAAGACAATGCTGTGTAGCCACATGTATCAAACTCCAGTCCTCAAGGCTGTCCTGCAGTTTTTAGATGCTCCACAGGCACAAAACCCTGGAATGAAATATTTTAATTGCCTCCTTCTTGTGTAGATCAGTTCTCCAGAGCCTACATGACCTAATTGTTCTATTGTGGCTAATTGTTGTGTTGTAATGAATCTTCCAGCTGGTATTTCAGCATTTTCCGGTTCTTTGTGCAAAGAGGAGGTGTGCCCAATTTACCTCAGGTCGGATAAGACAGCGAAATATCTCCTGTTCCTGGGAAGTTCTGCCTGAAACTATGTGATACGTTAAACTTGGTGGTTCTACATATACTGAATCTATAAACTTGAATCAATTCTTCTCTTGACACAATCTTAGTCAAGCTGTTCTAAATGTTGAACTCATAAGTAGGTCAATCTACAATATAAATATGACCTAAAGTTTCAAGAGGTCATTGGTTGTAGATACCCATCTGGTTACCTAGACACACCCACAAATCCCTATTGCTGCAGGGCAGAGATATGTAGACATCTGATTCTGTGTTTTTAAACAAGATTGTCCTGAAAGATGAAATTGGACCTGATCAAAACACAAACTCGAAGTTGGAGTTTAGGCTTGCCAGTTCCACAAACCAGTTTCCTCTATTTATCTCACCCGAAAGGACCAATCACAACACTCCCAAAAATGAAATCACATTCCCTTCAAGGGCACGTGTTGACTTGACTCTGCTCACCTGAACACGACACTGCAAGGAGTCGTTCTCTCTCTGCTGCAGAAACAGTCCGGATTGCATCAAGACAACACAGATCTTTCGGTAAGTAAAGTTTTCTTTCACTTGGGAATTTACAAATTTTGCTGTTTAGTGGCTTTAGTACGTGAATGGGATCTGGTCACACACAGATAAGTTTCATTTTACACTGACTGTGTTAGGAAGTGTGGGTGACTACTATGTCAGTAGAGACTCACCACAGAGCGAGGAATGAAAACTAGTCTGAACAAAGTCATGCAGCTTGAGAATGACCGCTTTATCCTTGGTTTACTTTAGATACAATGGCCTACTCCAAGCCCAACACCACCTTCTCTCTGGCTCTGCTCAGAAAGCTGAGTGAAGACAACAAGACTGCAAACATCTTCTTCTCTCCATTCAGCATCTCTTCAGCTCTGGCTATGATGTTGCTGGGAGCCAGAGGAGACACAGCCACTCAGATGTCAGAGGTGATCTTTATCCATTGAACAAGACAAAGCTGAATAAAACACAGAAAGGCATGTATGTAAATTTGTTAAATATTGTCCGCAGTGCTTGAAAATCCAAGATTGTCAGGATGATGTCCACACCCTGTTTGCTAAACTGCTGAGTGCAGTTTAGCATCCATTAAATGTATCCAGAAGCTACATTTGCTCTCAGTGTTGCCAACAGACTGTATGGAGAGAAGTCCTACAACTTTCTTCAGGTAATCATAAAGATCACATGGATACATGGTGAATGTTTCCAGGATGAATTCATGGATCTTCTGTTTGTTCTCTCAGGAGTTTTTGACCCAAACAAAAACTCACTACAACGCAGAGCTGGAGGCTGTGGACTTCAGAACCAGCAGTGAGGAAGCCAGGATGAAGATCAACAACTGGGTGGAGGAGAAAACACAAGGTGGAACACACACACTGACACACACACCCATCAGTTCATCACAAGACCTCAACGAGTTCACACAATACTGATGATGATTTGTAAGGATCAAGAGCTCCATCTAGTGGGACAGTGTGTTGTTGTCATGTTGTCAAAAGCTTCAGTCTCTCTGGTGTTGGTTCTGATCCATGTTGCCTCCATGTTGTCACCAGGTAAAATCAAGGATATTGTGGCTGAGGGAGTAGTGGACAGCACGACCAGGATGGTTCTGGTTAATGCCATCTACTTTAAAGCTGCCTGGAAAAACAATTCTTTGAATCTGATACTAAAGAGGATCAGTTCAGACTCAACAAGGTGACAGAACATAAACAGTTTATTACAGCAAGCAGGATTTGATTTTATTAAAGAAACATTTGCTTCTCTTTTAGTTAGCTAGCCTTGTTTTTCTCGCTATGTCATTTATGCCACTGTATGTATTTCACATTTGCCATAAAAATGCAAAGAAATGTCTACAGGATGTATTGAAAATTGACCTTTGATTTTTTGTAATTGATTACAATTACAAGCTTCATCAGTTAATTTGCTATTCACAATTATATATATATATTGCATTTGCATAAAATCTTCTTTATTAGTACACTAATACAAGCTACACAGGAACATTAGTCATTGTTTTGTTTACTATTGTTTAAAATGAATTTATTTTGAGAACGACTGTCTTAAGTAATTTTAAGAAATTGCTATTTGTGTCTTTAACTGTCTTAAGAAACAACAACACCAGTACAGATGATGTGTCAGGAAGATGATTTCCCCTTCACTGTTATTGATGAAGTCAACTGTCAGGTAATGAATCACATGGTCATCAGTCAGGTATTGGATTCAGCAATAGATTCATCAGACTTTAGGTAAATATTGACTTTGATTCCTGTACATATTTAGTGTTTTTCTTTGGTGTAAAATCTGAAATGTTTCTGCTGGACAGATCCTGGAGATGCCTTATAAAGGACAGGAACTGAGCATGCTCATCATTTTACCCAATGACATAGAAGACGATACAACAGGTCTGGAGAAGGTAGGACTCTCTCAGTCTCACAGATTAATGAATCTCTATCTTTACAGTGATGCATCTGATTATTGATATATTGTCCAACCAGCTAGAGAAACTTCTGACCTATGAGAAGTTCATGGAGTGGACTCATCCAGACAAGATGAAGAGCCGTAAGGTTGTGGTGAAGCTGCCTCGATTCAAGCTGGAGGAGACGTATGACCTGAATGAAGCCCTGACCAGCATGGGCATGGTGGACGCTTTTGACCAGACAAAGAGTGACTTCTCTGGTGAGACATGTGGAAGGAGAGTGAAATGTTTCTGATGTAGTTTGGTTGATAGTCAGAACAACCAGCTGTGCTCAGATGCTGCAGTGATGACCTTTGACATATGTTTAATCCAGGAAGCAGTTTATTAATCTGTCCTCTCTGGACGAAAACTATAAATTACCATGAAATAAGGAGGAAGATGCAGCCACATAACCAGACTCTTATAAATGAAAACTGATATTTATTTTAATCATATGTTATGTTGTTATATTGTATAATTATATAAAGTGTATTTTCTTACCTGTTACAGGTATGTCTGGAAACAAGGAGCTCGTTCTGTCCAAAGTCTCTCACAAAGCTTTTGTTGACGTCAACGAGGAGGGAACTGAAGCTGCTGCTGCTACTAGTGTAAAAATGGAACTTCAATGTTATGTACCACCATCATTCTTCACCGCAGACCACCCCTTCCTCTTCTTCATCCGCCATAACCCCACCCTGACCGTTCTCTTTGCTGGACGCTTCTGCTGTCCTGTAATGAAGACATCTTCATCACAGGGACCATTTTACCCAAGTCACTGCTCAGCACTTTAAAAGCACTCTGCATTTTATTTACAAGCACTTTATTTAGCACTGCAAGTTAAGCATAGATTTACACATAAATAACAATTTGCACACAAGAAGTTTTAATTGTTTCAATTGAGTATTTTTAGAAATTAGCATGTAGCCTTTTTGTTCTGGGCTCTGCACAGCAGCTCCTCATTGACAAGTGAGGTGGTTTCCTGTGAAGGGAGAATAGAGCAATGAGCTACTGAAGGGTAAAAGTGAGCAAATGTTTGTGCATAATCTGATAGATGTAGAGTGCTAATATGAAGTGATTCACCTGTTTTTTCTGTGTCCTCTCCAGGGTGTTTGGAGAAATACTGCCCCGGCAGTCC